CACACAAGATCTATTGCAATCGCTAGTGATTGGAATTAAGCTAGCAACTAGTCTGCGTCATATTCTTAAATGACAACCTACCCGACAGAAGCGAATGCAAGTCACATGGCTATGATGTGACGCTTCGTCTATCACAAAAAGACAATTTACTAACAAGATGCTTGGAAACCTAACCTACCTTAATCCATCTTATCCATTAGTCTACCTTTTGCGGCAAACCTCATCCATACTATACCTATCCGTGGAGGGGAGCTGTGGGCGCAACTGTACTGATATTTTACGATGTACAAATGTATGACAACCTAACTGCACCATCTGGCATAATATAACGGCCAGTTTAAATTATTTGCGAATATGAATGGTGACTGGACCAGCTAATACCTTGCCAATAATTTTTGTCTCAGCGAAGAAATGATTCTGGTCACACAATCTCAGCCTACAAACTCCTATTTGCCCAGTGCCTGTTGGTATAATAAGTAAAGCTCACCAATATACTGAATCACCTTTAATACGCTCGTGTCCTAAGCTTCTTGGACTATTTCTACTGTCCAACTACATCATGATCCCGCGTATGACTACACTCGAGATCCCATAATAAGTGTCCTAACCTCCATTTGAACACCGACAACATGACACAATTTCTAACCTGAGCCATTGCCCTACCTAGCAGGGCGTCAGGAGATTAACAGGCATATCCAATAGTAAAGCTAATCATCAAATTGGTCTTAGGCACATGCGAGTAATCGTGACTTGGCATACGCTAAGGATTTGAACCCTGCTAGAACACCCCAACTAGAGCGTAGATCGACTTAGTCCCCGTTAAGCTGTAGGATAAAAGCCCACTAGTCCCAGTGGCGGGCAGGGGCTTTTTATCCTGGCACGTTTAGGTGGTTATGGTTACGCATGGGGAACGTTTGCTTGGGGTAATTGGAGTATTTGGAATGTCTGCTTCATCATGGCTTACCTGCGTCACATACTTTTCTGTGTACTGACTATATATATATCTCTTATTCCAGTTCCGAACATCATGTTAGATGCAACACAAGGTAGTAAGTGACTTGCGAGATGAGGTATAGACTTGCTTCTATTGAAAGAAAGAGAGAGCTGACCTCAGCGTTTGTGTCCCTCCCCGAGATAAATAGAGATATACTGAATCGAATGTTGTGGCAAGCAAGAGATATCCTAGCATGAGTACAAATGCTGTACTAGGTGACTGTGGTCTTCAAACTAGATTTTCTATATTCTGGGCTCACGGGACGGTCCGGTGATCACCTGCAGCCTCAGGGGAGTAGGGCCAGACTCTTTCTCGAAACTAATGGCTCTATTTGTGGCATGATCCGAGTATTACTAAATGACACAGAATGAACCTGTTGAGGGGACAGAGTGACATCCAACCGCGTGAAGCACCAGAGCCAGCGCTAAGCCGTGATACCATGAACCGCCACGGGCAAGCATGTACCCTAATCACCAATATGCGTAAGCATCGAGAGGGATATCTGTACCCGTTACCAACGCATGGTCGGCTTTGAAATTTAGTGAGATGGTTGCATATCAGCAGAGCGGTGGATTATGTTTCTGGGGTCAGCGTAGACCTGGGCCAGCCGGCCACTAATTCTGGTGTTCACGGGAAGCCAATGCATGGTATTTGGAATATGTCTGTGCTTGTGCAAGTCAAGCATATAAGGGGGCGAAGTTCCGTCCGATTCACCATTGACCTATTCTTGGTTACGTATTCAACTATACTCGGATATCACCGAACACACTCTGTAAGCAAGGCTGTATTTCTCTGTGGGGAGGGGTAAGCAGACCACAGGATGTACGACGAGACCCTAGTCACGTTTGCTCCGAGGGGAAGGGAGGGGGGGGATGCCGTATATAAATTGCGTATCTACTCTGCCTCGTAGAGAAGCTTCCATTACATTCTCTTAAGATATAGAATTGCAAGAACTCTACAGGTTGCTACTCTTTAGTACTGTTGAACCAACCGATATCCTGTCGTGTAAGTCAATATATCCCCCTCCCTTCAGTTCCAACAACCTGATATTGATAAGCCCTCAGCCAGATAAACAGCCATGAAGCTCCAAGTCGGAATCATCCTCGTCATCCTCCAAACCACCACGGCTCTCTCGACTACAACACGTAGAGATGACGGTCCCGCGGCCGCAGACGGCGAGACCCCTCCAGCGAGAAACCTTTTCGCCCAGAGCTGCTGGACGAAGTCGCCTTACGGCTGCTCAGACAACAGATGGTGCTGGAAGCAATGCGGCTCTAACGGGGAATGGTGCTGGCTAGCTAGGAACTGGGGAAAGGGTGAATGGAAGTCCTGTTCTAGTGCGTCTGATTGTGTGCCTGGTAGAGACAACAGTGACTGCGGTCAGGGGAACTGCGAGGCATGTGGTTGTAGTTGCTAGGGTGGATGGCTATGTATGTCGTTGTATTTCGGTTTGTGTAAACGGAGTGCTGAGTTCTGATCATTAGATTCATTACATGCGATCTTGGGGGTGGCCAGCATTACCACTAGATAGAGACTGGGAAATTACCTTATCTTATAATTATTAACGGTATAGGCCCCTGAAATATAAACCTCGCGTTTATATAGTCTTTTTTTAACTCTATTAGCTTAATTTACATATATTTCATAATATTATTATTAAGTCGAAGCACCGGAAATAAAAGTAAACTATTAATATATAAAATTCATAGTATTATAGTTAAAAGACAATCCAGGACAATATACTGAATCTAATCCAGCGTTCTATTTTTACAAGTAGAATGTGAGGACCTGCGAAACAGACACTGAAAATGACCACTATAGAGGCTGTTTACGGCCGTATTTTTACCTATATTACCTGTCTTCCTAACCACTGCTCTAATATCTTATTATATATTTTATATTATTATTCTATATTTATTAAGTATTAAGTTCGAGGTTTAAGTCTAGGCAGTCTTCGATGAGCTTGTCGTAGTTTTTATAAAGCTTAAAGTTAAGATTATATCCAGCACTCTCTCGGCGCTCCAATACCTAATATGAGAACTCGTTTAACGTGAGCAATTTTAATAATATCTTTAGATGGGTTTCTCCTATCAAAGACTGGAACTCATAACATATGGGGCAACCCGAGTCCGCGGCTTTGAGAAAGCAAGGACTGCAGAAAGGGATGGTGGGGCTGTCAGTTGCATTCGAAGGTCTGGCCCTCAGATGTCGAGAGGGTACTTAGAATCTGCTGTCCGCGAAAGACTTTCTGGCAGGCTTCACATGGCATACTTTGCCCGTTGCTTTCAATTGGCATTTCGGATTGGAAATGGCAGAAGATCTAGACGGGTGGTAGGCAGTTGGACAGTTTAACCAAACTCCTAGAGAGGTCCTTGGCTAAAACATATGGGGGTGTAATGCCCCAAGGGTGGGGGTCTAGGAGACCGATGTAGAAGAATATGATCTAATGCTGACAGCCATAGCCTGTCAGCCAGACTATGGGGTATGTAATGTGTCTATTGACCAGACTGATAGCAGGCAAATGCTAGCTTCGCCTGCATACTTTCGCGCAGTATTGCTTGCAGTAACCTTCCTCTTGCTCCAGTTTGTGTTCGTCTTGTTGCCGTTCGGCCGCTTCACGCCCCTGTTGCGCCTGAAAGTGAAGCGACTTGTAATCAGGAGAACTTTTACCCGCAATAAATCTTTGGACAGGTAGATACAGAAGAGGAGGCATTAGACAGGCAAACACCTCGAGACAATCACTAGCCGGATCGGTTTTCGGTCGAGGCTTGTTACGACAATCTGATTCGGGCCGGTGCTTGGGCCCAGGGAAGATTGTTTATCCTAGCTCTTTAGTGGTTCGGTCACCCAAAGATCAAATACAGAAACCTTGTGAAACATGATTTGTTGCCTCCTAAGTCGTCTCTATAGATGGTGTCGGGTTATGATTGGAACATGAATCAAATTGTGATAGCCAGACATAGTGATAGCTTTGTAAATAACAACGTATCCTGCTTGGTCCAAAGAATTGTAATATCCAAAGGCAACTAATCATGACAATGGCTCCTTATCAACTATAGTAAGGAGTAGTGTGCCTAAACTATCTATTCGCATACTCCCTCATGAGTATTGTCTCTAATGACGCAGGTTGTGCATCCTGGATACTTGCTGCAATTGTCTTTGGGAGTACAACGACGAGCAGGGCAATGTTGTCTTGCGTCCAGACCGTGATCAGACCGCGGAACTCCCGATATTTCTGATGGTTTTTGGCTGTTGCTGAGAAAGTTTGTTGGGTATATTTCCGCCGGAGGATTCAGGAGAGCTGGACCCTTGACAGTACGGCCATCCACGCCACTGAAGACTTGTGAAAGATGCTCCTTCTCTGCCTCTGTGTCGCGCGAAGAGGTATCAGAAAGCATCTGGCTAATCTGCTGCGGACTCAGCGGCGCATAGTTAAGAACAGTGCCCGATTCGTTGAAGTGTCTCAGGACCCCGTCGTCGCCCAAGTGGATGAAGTCTGTCGGGTTTACGCTCTCGAAAGAACGCATCAGATCTCTCCAAGATGGTTCCCCAGCCTAGACGAGATATTAAAAGACATGTAATACAGCATAATTTGTCAAAGTGGTACTCACCGATGCAGCTGCGCAGGTAGCTGCAGTGGCAACAAGAGCTGCAAACATTTCCAGGACGGAAAGGCGCATTGTTCGACTATAATAACCGGAGACTGCAATAGAAAGGAAGTAAAAAACAAGAAGGGTGCAATTAAGATGATGAAGGAGGTATAGCCTAGGGGTACAGTGAGGGTATTTATAAGTACCAAGAAGACAATGTACAGTGTAGCGTCTTTCATACAGAGACCAAGGGTCATCGGACTTTTGCTTCTCAGTAGCGTGATAGACAATAGGGGGAACAATGATCTCTGAGGGTGCTCCAACTGCGATTTCTCCGCTGCATCCGGGTCAGTCGATACTACGATGATTCCACTCCCTCACCAAGGGTACCGGCGAGATACGGGATGTTGGCCCGGGGGGGGGGGGGGGGGGGGGGGGGTGGATAGTTGTCCGCGTCACCCGCCCCTGGCGCATCGGTTATGGATAATACCTCATTCATATGCATATCTAGTGCCTGCGAGGCTGCGCCGATATAAGGAAATGACTCACTCTGTGGGATATAGTGTCAGCAGGCCGGAAAGTCCCCATTAGGACAAAGCCAACAACGATTACTTGGACTAGAAGCGATACCAGAGACAGTAATATCGGGTCTCCAACTATCTCACTGCTGTCGTCAACATGCACTTGCATCTGGGTCGATCACTGTGTAGACAAACACCTCTCCGATCCTTGCCGTTGCGCAACAGATGGTAAAGAACATCAGGCACAAAGATCACGATACAAGAAGGGTTATGCAAGAATTGACAACCCACCTCTTACATGGGTACTTGGGTTACTCTATGCACAGGGCATTAGACGCCTACTTTTACAACGGGAGGAAGTATTCCAGCAATATCAACTGACCAAAGTAAAGAGTCCCAGTAGCATGCCATATCATAAAATCCTTGGGACAAACATGGATAGAAATCCCCTCTCTACCTAGGACTAATATCATAATCCGACCGAATAACCACCCCGCACCGTTTCAACTCCCCACTGGCCATTTTCCTTCTATTCTCCTCAATGATATCCTTATTCTCCTCGTAATCCCTCTCGGCCTCTGCTTTCTCCTCCGCCGTCAATGGTGGCGGTAATAACGATGGATCTGGCTTCCACCACTGTTCCTGGGACACTTTTGTTCCATCGGCGCCGCGAAATTTGTCTTCATCCTCCTTATCAAATATGGTCCGATCGAGCAAGGCCTTGATCAGTCGAGGTGGAAGGCCGATGGCGTCAATCACGTCATTGTCGAGGGTCAGAGTTCGGAGGACGCCATCAGTGCCAATAACAAAGGGAGCGTTGCCCTTCGAGCCGGTGTCCAGCTTGCTCATGATATTGGATAGTTCTTTTTGGTCGGGGTGGTTATTGGGGTCGGGACCATAGCGACTGGTAGCGGGCGGGGCTGGGCAAGTCATTTTCTGCTTTTGATATTTCAAGGATTATTGTGAGAGAATTTGGGAAAGTGGTTAGAGGTGATCATACTAGTAAGGTAGTTACAGTCTAGGGCTTATTTATATAGCAAAGCAACGCCATGTGATCTACTAAGCTTCAACACGAAAGACTTTGAACAGTAGGTCGCTTGGACCGTAATGTGTACTATAAACCACCAGCTGATAGGCAGCTTGCCGCTATGATCCACCTCGCCCGTCCAGATCTCAGCCACTGCATCACTGGCGAATGCGCCGCTGAGGTAAGAGTGGAGAATTGCATTGCTGCGGAGGGTCGAGGTTTTGGGCACAAAAGGCCGATGAGAATTAGGACAGTTGGGATGGATGCGTCTAGCACGGCATCCAAACACCCGATTTGTCGTTTTATTGATTTGTTTGATTTAGGACGCCTGGAGTTTCGAAGTAAAGTATTTGTTGGATGACATGTCTGACCCGCTTGAAGGTAGTACACGGAATACTGACGGAATCTATGATAGTCTCTTCTGAGGCAGTGCAAATACTACCTCGGAATTTAGCGTCTGTATGCAGGGGTTAAAGGCCTAGCGTCACACCCTGGAGTTGGGATTCTGCGAGAAGCACTCCCCCTGTAGATCTAAAAATCAGACCATCATGACGGAAAGCCCACTTTAGCCTTGTTAGGGTCACATGGCGTTAAGGACAGACATTAGGCCGATACTGGCCCTGTGTGGCCATGTCAACTCCTGCATCTTCCGGCCGCTTATTCGCCCTGTAGCCTTGTCCCCAATGATCCCAGTTGAGGCATTTTTGGGAATCCTTTGTCCCATTGAGGTGCGCCAGTTCTAGCATCCTACGGTTATACTGGCCTGATTTCTGCGTCCATCGAGGTGGAGCTTAGACTCTACAGAAAGGCCCATATATCAGGGGGGAAAGATCATTCGGCTATATGAAAAGGGTTTAGGAACTTTGGGATGATCTCGCGGCAATGCAAAATGACCAAGTTCCCCCGAGCCTTAGCTGAGAGAGAGAGAGAGGAGATGAAATCAGTCATCCACAGATCCCTGAAAAGATCTGCCCTCTCGATAGCCCCTCCCTCGCTCATCTCCGTTCCAAATCTCTACGTACCCAAATCTCCAACAACAACAACAACCAACATATCCTTGTAGACACCGGTTGCGTGTGATGCCTTGAGAGTGATAACGTGTACCCTCTTTTGGTCATCTCAATCGCATAATGAATACCCTGGTGTTGGCGCACATAGATCGGAGCGGAATTCTATCTCTGCCATGAACGACGACCTCCAACAGTCTCCCAACTATCCTGTTAGGTTTATTGCCTTTTATATCGCGGTGCCCCGCTTGGAACGACTAGCCGGTTTACTTGACTCTTACCGATCGTTAGTGCCATGGGAGAAAGAACGTTTAGCTTCGCAGCGTCAATCACAGCGCTCATGGGATTTCTTATGGCACGTACTGCCCATGTAGCCTCGTTCCAGTCCTATGCTATGCCGAGTCAGCTGGCCAATGGATCGCCTAGTCAAGAAGTACAAGATCGAGGAGGTTGATTTTCCTGGAAGGGATGGTCATCGAAGGCAGAGACCGGATTCCGATCAGGGTCTCTGGTGGCTCATACTACATGACCCATGAGGCAGCGGAGACCTATAATTTCTGTTCCAGTGCATATTCCACCGACAGGACCGTCGCACATGTAGGATTCACCTTCCGTGGCGACAATTCTGCGGCCAAGATGCCACCTGCTTGTTGCGCGAAACAACAACGCCCTCTCAGCGATGCTAGTTACGAAAGCGCCTCCGGGACTATCCGGTGCTTCATGACGCTGAGCCTTGTGCTTTTCCAGATGCATGTCCCACACCCTTGATGTACATTTGGACTTTGGTGATTCTGTCTGTTTTGCGTCATTTTATTGCTATGTCCGTGTGGTTGCTCACTGTATAAGGCGGGATATTTTGTATTTGTCTGCAGAAACGGCCATTCATCTTGGTCTATTTGTCAGGAAATAGACATGTATACCTCTCATCAGCGACAAGTATTCTTTAGAGGATGGTAGGAGACCACCTACTATGACATCGCAGGCTACGGCTCGTATGACGACTGAGTACTCCCTGAATTACAAACTACCGTATAAACTGAATGTTGCGAGAGCACACAGTTGAAGTACATCGAGTACCACATTGTAAATTATTTTCGCGCCTCAAAATTGTTTGATATGTTATCGAAATTCTAACCTGGTCAAGGATGATGTTTACGCCAATGAACTTCTATACATCCCAGCTGGGCACATTCAGTTCTGTATAATCGTTGAATTCGTTTTTATAGGTTCAGCAAGAGCGATAATTATGTTGTCCCAAAGTCGAGTTCTCCATTCTGATCGAAGCTACATCTTCGCATATATATATTGAAACTATAATATGCGTCCTGGGCGATCTTTGGCAGTTCAAGTAATGCCCCAATCGGCTTCTTTTCCATCGATTCAGTCATAGCAGCAACAAAAGCCTGAGCCATAATGCACCCGCGCCAGTAATCTCTTTATCTTGCCACTACCTTCTCCTGGTCACCCTCTGCTATCCAAACCTAATAAATAGTTAATTACAACGCAAGGGTATGTATTCCTATAGCTTAATGCATAATACATACCTCCTGAATCAGCTCGACTGCTTGTAAAACGTAAAGGACTGGAAACCCTGTCCCTGGGTATAACATCCGTCTCTTCCCGTCTGGCGAAATTTATCACAACCAGTTCCGCTCGCTGCGCTGAATACATATCCTTCCGGGGTATCGCTGGCTTTGAAGGACTTTATATCGTTGACCCCAGCCACCCACAGGCAGCCCCAGACCGTATCTCCAGTGTACGAAGTAAGGTATCCAGTACAGTCAGTGTTCGAGTAGGCGGTTACATTCCAGGCGGCCGTGAGAGATGCACAGGCAGAAAGGAGGAGAGTAAGCGTGGAGAATTGCATGATGATAGATTGTTAACTTGTTTCTGTGAAAACCGAGGAGATGTGAGTAGTTGGTTGATGGGGATGCTTTTCATTTAGCAATTTCACTGTCTTCTTATACCTTGACCAGTTCAGTTAGTGGCTAAAAATAGAAAAGGATGCTTCATCTCAGAGGCGCATATCGGGCCTTAGGCGTCCAGTCTTCATGACGCATCCGACCGGATATGGCAACACCGCGGTGTTTTAGGCGACCCAGCGGAATAGATCATAATTCTATTCATAGGTCGCATGTACCTAAGGAAATATAAGATGTGGTAGATAGATCGGCACTATGGGTGTATGGGCGGCCTTACCCTACAGTAGGGCGATGCAGGGATGTAAAAGTCTACATTTTCCAAAACATATTTCCTGTCCAGTATTATCTGTATAACTGGCCAAGACACATATGTATTGGGAGTAGAAGGGAACTCTAGTCATCGGGATATTAGGCCACGATATAAAGAAAGAAAAGAAAAAAGAGAAAAAAAAAAACAAGAATCGTTAAAAGATATATTCATATTACTTCTTCTATGCTTTACCTATATGATAGTAGATAATATACTCAACCTCGATTATTTTGTTATTAATCTTAATCTCGCTCTTGTTTTTTTTTCTACTTAAACTTAGTCTTGATCTTGTACTGGAGAGAGTATATATTAATCTTTATTTTATACTTAGTCTCTTTGCTAATTTTTCTTTTAGAATTCTTATTTTTATTAATATCGAAGATAATTTTAAAATTAATAGTAAATTTACTAATAGTAACAGTATACATAAGCTTATTACTTTAAATAATCTTAAAAAAGATTTTATCGCTTTTGAAAAGACTCTTCGGGGCTTTGATCGACTTGCCAATAGTTGACTTGTCCTTGAAAAGACTGATAGTAGTATCCATAGTGATAGAGATAGTTACAAGGACTACGTACATACACCGGCTGAACATCAAGGCATTGCTTAATATATGAGAAGAATAGACTACTAATCAGAAAAACAGATATTATTTGTCTCCTGGATTTCCTTGATCTTGGAGATAATACTGAACTTCTCGACGAGAGTCTCGACCTTACTATAGAGCTGAGCAATTTCAATCGATATTGTGGATGGATATACTCGCGTTACCGCACACTATATCGCAGACAGAAGGAATGAATTAGAAGCAGGGAATGAAGAAAGAACACTGTGCTATTTATCATGAGGGGAGCTGAGGGAGCCAAGACAATTCCATCATGGCTGTGCTTCGGTTTGATCAAATGAGGCCTGTTTATGCCCACACGGGAGTATAGTCCCCCACAGCACGGACCAGTCTTGCTGTACTTCTGACGAAGCCCTTAGGGCACTCGTTGCGAATTGAAAGATGTATTGAACAGGAGCACCTCTCAGCGAAAGACTGTATCTCTCCAGTGAATGAAGTAGGGTATCCGGTAAAGTCCACGTGTGAATGGGTGGTTATAAACGAACATTCCATCTAGTTAAGCATATTATTGATATGAATATATAACAACTTATAACAGGTTCGTCTTAGGGAAGCAGGATTGCAGTATACTCTAATTAAATTACTCAGTGTAGATATATGATTTAGCTGAGAAGGCCGCGACAGCAGCCGTGAGTCCTTGTTCTCTGCTCTGTATATTGTCCAAGTGTCTGGCTTTAGCTGTCGGGGCACTGCGCGCCGACAGCCCTCGGTCCAGGAAACGCCGATATACATTGTTGGGACTGTGCCATGCGCCACCTGCAGCCCCATACCCCGGATTCTCCACATGGCTTCCTGGCTTGTGTTTTGAAGAACGTCTACTAGTTATGGAGCAGCTCACTGGTATGTTTTTGGCATGGTATATCTACCTTCGGCCCGCTGTTCTACAATCACAAGAGACGCTTGCTCTTAAAGAAGATCGACGTTCTGCTCAATATCACAGTGAAATTTCGTTCCTACTTCTCTAGATACCTTGCTTATCACAATGGTTGCTGCCAGTGACAGTACGACCGGTGCTGGCTCGGGCCTGGACATTTCATATGGACAGTCCGGTAGGTCGATGTTCAAGTTGAAGTCTCCCAGCTTGGCTCATTGCTGACCG